ACACATTCGCACACATACGCACACATACCCACACACACACGTAAACTCACTGAGAGCAATGCTGTGTTACAACGTGGTGCGCATTATATATTGTTGATATGCCGATGAAAGGGTGGAGGAGGTGGCAAGCACTATAATTTTGCATCACTCAGGCCCAGCTTGGACACCGCTATAATGCGTGGTGACGAAGCCTCACTCAGGCTGCCAAAGAAGCCCCCAATTGCTCCCCACAACTTCACGCCTATTAAAGGGCATTTGTATGGCTTGCACGTGACATCGTATTTTTGTAGCAACGAAAGGAAGCGGTTGGTGATTTCTTAACGCTACGGTCTCGACCGTATTCTTGCGCAATCTGAAAATAAATGTGCGCTGATTGCTAAATAGGCTCATTTTAGCCCCTCGGCCTTCACTTTTCCCTTTCAGTCGTGATCTCAGAAGGCCGGAGCATTGTCCGTCACGCAAACCCCAACCGCGTCCATGTCGAGGTCGTACTTCCCTGGAGAGCAGCTTGGCTTCATGGATTTCTTCACTCGCCACCGCGCACGGATGTCGAATGGAAGATGTGGATGTTGAATGGAAGATGTGGATGGCTCTGGTCTCTTGGGCATTAAAGCCAGGCATTGAACATCGCTGCTCCAGAACATTTGAGAAACGTTTAAAGGAGCCATGATTTTTTTTTGAATGAAAATTACAACTTCCTTTTTCGATTTTCCTTAATCACCCAAGGATCTAACGCGATTTCGATGACAAGAACTTATTGAGAGGCCCACGCTGTTTTTACTTTTGGAGACGAGGAATGCAGATTTATGCAGCCAAATGCCGCACAAAGATGACAGTGTTTCATAGACAGTGGCCACGTCTGTTGACCATGGACAGACGGGATTCTCCTGAATGCAGGATTGTTGCTGTCGTGAGAACACTTGAGACTGTCTCCGTTGCAATGCTGTGTGAAAATACTTTGGTCTCTATATGAAATCCTAACAAGACATACATACATAAGGTTTCCAATTGAATAATGAAACAGGCACTTTTTAATCTTTCTCTGAATAAAAATATTAAACTGCCATAAAAAAAACAAGGAATGCGATAAACATGTCACATTTGAATCCCCCGCAAAACATGGTTATGATGAAATGTTCCACTGAGTTGTGGAAAGCTCTAAAATTGCCACGCATAATCCTCGTTGCTGGCACGCCAATTTGAGTAGCAGTTGAACATGTAACCTGAATACCTTCCACGGGCATCTTTTTTTGTATTTCAAATGTAGAATGCTAAGGCGAGAGGCAGACAGATATATCTCAGCGTTTGGAACTCTGGCAACAGAAATGACTGACGCTAATAAATTAAGTCACTGATGTGAATTACGCCGGGTGTAATGCCACTATGCCAATTTATAGCAATGGCCATACCTGGCATGGGTACTCAGTGAAACAATGCTGATGTGTTTTTTGCCAGGGCTGAACACAGTCAACTTGCTTCCTTTGCCAGCCGTTCCAGGCTTATTAAACAAGGCAATAACTCAGCTCCAAAGCCGGGTGGCAGCCTTAACCAGAGCTCATCCTATATTGCTGAGTGCTAGGAAGTGTTTTGCATAGTAAGCAATCTCTCTAAGTAACGGGATGGATGCCAACCATTGACTCGTGCCACAGATATGCGCTGTACTTGTAACTTATCGAAGTGTTACTTCTAACAGCCTGGAGACAGATTATTTCCTGGTATTATGATAATTATCCTGTTTTAAACCCTTTCATTATCCAAAACCGTTGTTTGTAAATTAGAGCAAGAACTTGTGACACTGTATACATTTCTAAAAAGAAAAGAAAAATATGTTCAGATTCCAAGCAATTACCCATTAACAACAGCACCCAATTACATAGCTCCCTTGCAACATTGTAAGCTGATAGCAGCGAACAACTAACGAGCCTGCGACCTAACTTTTACCTAGAGATTAAACACATGAGTATACAAAAACATTAAAACATACTATCTTTAAAAGTGCTGCAAATCCTTGCCAAATTAGAAGTCAATTGTAAATGTATATTTAGCTTGATAATTAAAATATGGTTTTCTAAAGGACATATTTAATCAACCAGAAAAAGAAACATTTGCTAAATGTAATCGAACATTTCCAGTTGGTGCATTATTTCACTGAATGATTAAAGAGTCGTACGTGGAAAATGGCTTCTGGTCAATGTTTGAATCAACTTAATTTCTCAGCTACACATTTTTTTGCTTAATTTTTTTATGTCTAGCATATCTTGAGTGTAAATACGAAACACTTGATTGAAAAGGTTATGATAATTACTTGATAATTGTTATCACGTAAAATGTGATGACGATTATTATATTGATTAAATTTAGGGAAAGTGATAACAGTAGTGCACTGTACTATGAACCCAGTGACCTTAGATCGATTCCCAGCCATGGCTAACCATCAGTCGAGGGTAATATCGGAACCAGTCCCTGGGTGCCCCCTTCACCAAACGGCGCTGATCAGTGTGGTGAAATATGGTTCATTAACTTCCACAACTGGCACATCCAGCAGTGGTTTGACAATGTTATGTAAGCTAACAGAAACAATTCTCTCTTGTTGATACACCACTGAACGTTGACTCAAAAATGATCATTCATGTCTGACAATTCATATCTGACAAACCAATTGCATGCTAATACATATAATTAATTTTACTACTTATGTAAAACAATCTTCAAATACGTGTAAAATAATTGTTACTCCACTGTAAATTACGTTTCCGAACCAACATTGTCATTTTATCGTAAAGTAAATGATAATAATGTACAGATATTTTTTCCCCAATCAAATTGCTGGAAGAAATTCTCCCCATGCCATGTGGGTTATGGGGGTTGTTTTGACCATACTTCACCACACCGGTCAATGCGGGTTGGTTGGTGAAAGACGTTGGTCCAAGACTTGTTCAGATGTCACTCGCCACCGATGGTAGCCGGGGCTTGGAATCGAACTCGTTGGCCAGGTTCATGGAGCTGGGTGCTAACCGATGCCCCACCGCTATGCCACCCTCTCCCCTGATGTTGACGAGAGGGTGCAGTATGTATGCGTCAGCTTCAATGTAGGCAGTGCCATGTTCAAGTCATTAGCACATTCCGTTAATTTCCCCTCCACAACACCCTCAGTTTAATTGCACATTCATGGCTTACTCTGGTTTCCCCCAGGTACACCAGACGTGTTTTCTCTCCTTTATCACTGTCTTCACGATCTACAGTTCGGGTGGCAGTTATATGACATTAAGAGCCCGATTTATGTGCAATGTATAGTCCGTAATTGGAAAAGCGTTCATCAATTAAAAAAGCATCATTTTTTTAAAACTACAGGTTATACAGAGTATTGCCTTCGCTGCAGATTGATTTCACTAAGCTGATCCTGCAGGTTTTATGCGACGTTGGGCAAATCGTTCAGGGAGCCGATATTGCGGAGGAATTATCATTTAATAAGTACTGCGATGGAAACAGTGATTAAATACTGTACATCACTTCAAGACCAAATGGTGATGGCGATAGTGGTGGGTTTCAATGGGATACGCCTGTCCAAATAGATTTGCTATCTTCTCAAAAATAATCACAGTACCCAAGTTGCATCGTTAGGTACTTTAATCTGAAACGAAATGTACCCATCCTTCTAGGAGTGCACACAAATATGCAATGTAAAAGACTAAACAACAGTCCCTTACATCAACGAATGTCAATAAGAGTCCCTGTATTCACCTCATAATTGCTTTCATTTGCACGTAAAAGTATGTTTCAAAGGTTCGCCAGGGATATATATATATCTGATAAGTCCTTTGGGTTTACACACGCAGACGTGTGTTTTGGCTTTATAAACACACTTATGAACACTACTTTACATACTGTACTTATCATTTTGAATTCTGTGCATCAGTTGTTTCTGTCCTTCAAAAAAATCATTCAATATATACCAAGAGAAAACGTGCCAGTACAACATAAATTTTCTTAATCAGTGACTGTATGAAAATATAATAACAGACACATACGTAGATGTTGTGAAGTATTTTGAGGTTCCACTCATGCAATACGACATTTTCATACCTGTCAACCCATACGGTTTAACCCGTATTCTTGTACAGGGAAATTGAGTTTCCAGGTCCATACGGCGTCCAGCCGTTTCAATACGGGCAAACATTGTTTTGTCTATTTGTTTGTGTTTCTCCCTTGTGATGGGACTTTGTAGGATGAACGTTGAGATGTATAAGGGGCACGCGGTGATCAATGAGGTCTGAATTGGTCTGTAATAAGGTAGGCACTGCTAAGGGGTTGACAGGTTTGGATTCCCATGAAAACACGCGTTTAAGGAAAGAGCAAAAAACTGAGAAGTTAAATCTCGAGATCCATTTCATAATGAAGATTATACATTTCCAGCAATTTTCTTTTCAATCTATTGCTGGATGAAGACCTTGCCCTCTCCCCACTTAATTTCGTATGGGGGGGGGGGGGGTGTTTGACCATACTTCATCCCACAGCGTAATGTAAGTTGAAGGATTTGGTCGATTTTCGCGCACACACAAACACGTTTTCCACCAGCCAGAGACTGAAACGCGTGCGACCAATGTGTTTAATTATCCAGAGATTGAAGCTGTCGAGGGTAATGCCAAAGCAAAGATCAAGCCAGACCACGGTTCATCTCCACGTGTGCGTTAAGAGGTTTACAATAAACCATGAACTTTAATGGCAACAAAACCACACCTCACTCTGGCAAGGTACACTGTTGTACTCTGCACTACGATCGTGTTTTGTATTGTTTGTTGATGTTGTAACCTTCTTACCCGCCCCTACTTGACATCTGTGAAAAAGAGCCGCATAGCTCATCGGATTACTCCGGTATAAATACATATTCTGATTTTAATAATAAAACCAATCACGCTAGCAATGCACTATAAACACATACAATGACACTACTGGGCAAAAATAACACACGCGTAAAAAAACACACAACACTTGCACCTTACCCACAGCTGGATGCTAGTTGCCCCGATGCAGGGAAGTTCTAAAGGCGAGTTGAGCGTCTTTCAGTTGCTGTTTCATGGCAGAGTTCCCCAACACAAACTGCGTCGCTTTATCTCGCTGCAAGCCAGAGTCAAAAAGAGTGGAAAACACGCTTCCGACACACGCGCGCACCCGATTCGCGTGTCTAAATGTCTATCTTTTTTATTTCTTCACAAAAAGTGTCGACTAAACCACCCACTTATGAATTCCCCTTTAAATTCACGCGGCAGCAGCGGCCACAGAGGGCTAACAGCGAATAGACGTTATTGTTCCATTGCAGCGTGGACGAACGCTTGCTGATGCTGATGCCGCTGCAGTGGACTGAGGATCAATGGTGTGGGGGGTGGGGGTAGAGGCTCGTGTGAGGTGGGGTTTGGTGGAGGGGGGGGGTCCGGGAGGGGGGGAAGAGAGCCGGCGAGGCCGGGAGGAGGGAGGGATGAAGGGGGTGGGGAGACCCAGGAGCGCAGGATCGGCTTGGGTGCTGCCTGCCGCGAGCCTGGTGGTAGCTGCGGCACACGCTGCTTGCTGTGGGTGGGTGCGTGCCGCTTCTTATCCTTCACAATCCTCGCCACCGCGGTCGCAACTTCGTTTTTTTGGGGAGCGCACGAACCCGCGACTTGGATGCGCAACAGTCTCAGCCTCTGCGGTGGCCGCGGGCTGAGTGAACCTGCCTCGCAGCAGCCCCAGCAGCAGCAGCTACAGCAGCAGCAGCTACAGCAGCAGCAGCAGCTACAGCCCCAGCAGCAGCTACAGCCCCAGCAGCAGCTACAGCCCCTGCAGCAGCTACAGCCCCAGCAGCAGCTACAGCCCCAGCAGCAGCTACAGCCCCAGCAGCAGCTACAGCCCCAGCAGCAGCTACAGCAGCAGCAGCTACAGCCCCTGCAGCAGCTACAGCCCCAGCAGCAGCTACAGCCCCAGCAGCAGCTACAGCCCCTGCAGCAGCAGCAGCCCCAGCAGCAGCTACAGCCCCAGCAGCAGCAGCTACAGCCCCAGCAGCAGCTACAGCCCCAGCAGCAGCTACAGCCAGCTACAGCCCCAGCAGCAGCTACAGCAGCTACAGCCCCAGCAGCAGCTACAGCCCCAGCAGCAGCTACAGCCCCAGCAGCAGCAGCAGCCCCAGCAGCAGCTACAGCCCCAGCAGCAGCTACAGCCCCAGCAGCAGCTACAGCCCCTGCAGCAGCTACAGCCCCAGCAGCAGCTACAGCCCCTGCTTGTTTTGCACGGCAGAGGGTGTTTGAAGAGTCACCGAAAATGGCAGATCGCGTGAGCAGCGTGAAAGCGACGGGATTGTTCCCCCCGGCGTGCCCCGAGATGTAAATCGACAGCAGTTTCCCCGTTGCACGTTACGCTGCCACTCGTTTTCACGGTGTGAGCGGTGTGTGAGGACACTGTGTTTATTGTGATTGTAAGCAGCGGCCGTCAGTTGCGCTGGGGTCGTAGGCATCGCTATGCTGCGGCTTGAGGGCACAGGACCGGCTCAGATATCGCTCACCGCTGATGTTGTGGGCCGTGACCGGGAATCGAACTCATGGGGTGGCCGGCTTCGCGTTCCAGTTCGCTAACCACGACGCTGCCACACCGCCACCCTCTCACTCGACGTAACGACGTTGCATAATCGCACATTATGACGTGTGCTTCACCTTGGTGGACATATTGCATATATAGGATACACGTTGAATTTAATTTAGCACGTATAATTGCAAATACAGTATTGTGCAGATGCATGATGTAATAATCCTGCCATGCAACATTTGACTCAAGGTTATACACCATCCAATTAGCAACGTGTCGTAAATGGAGAGGAGGGGTCTCGTGTGGATATGGAAACACTGTGCGTAATTTTGCAAAGCTCGTTCACACCATAAACAACCGGGCTGACATCAACAGCAGCGAGAGTGTGCAACTAACCGAACACTGTACTCTCCACAGGGCACTGTGGATGCGACTCCACGCGGTAATCATCTCTGTCGTTTTACCCGTCGTCTGTTTTCAGCGACCTTTGCATATCAGCAGACCGGAGGGCCAATGAATACAGCAGATATTTGTTTCAAATGTAACCCCGCATCATGTTGCACAAATACAAAAGTGGCTGCTAAAGGCATTCAGAATTTACAAAACAATGCCCCTCCTAAGCGGTCGGTCACCTCGTAAAACTGCTGCTATATATTTTTTTCTCTCCAGGAAATTCAATTGCGACTTGGACACATGATGACACATGGATGTGAGTATCACCAGGGGACACTGCATGTTCACAATGAAGCAGACAGGACATCAGGATGAACGTTCCCTTTGGCGGGCATATTGATATTGATCATTTGTTTACCTGCAGCACTTTATCAGGAGAAATGAGATTGTGGTTCGATGCAGTGGGATCATGATGTAAGGGGGTTCGCACATAGAACACAATTCCTCCCAGCCACACACGAATGACAGGATATGCTCACGCACACAGTAGCCTCTTATGTTGACTGCAAATTATTTGATCCAAGCAGTTTAATGTTTTTCTATTTCATGTATTTCTGCTTTTGTAATTGTGGTGGTGACATGCCCTGGCGGTAGGTAGCGCGTTCACCGCTCGTTGCAAAGATTGACGGTCCAATTTCCGGCGGCCACCCTGGTTAATACTGCAGTGTGCATATAATACAGTGGTGCATACTAACCATGCAAATACTATGCGGCGTCCGGTTCACGACGGACGTTGAAAATCCCGTGATGTCATTCGCAAGAGTAGGTCATTGTGTGCAGGCATCGTGGTAGAAATTTGAGAAATTACGCCACAAATTGGAACATAGAAAACAATCATTGCTCCCTACTGCGAAAACTTGGCAGGACCCTCCTCAAAAGGAGTTGAGAATCTGCAACGCTTTCCTGAATAATATAATAGTAATAAAATAATAATATAAATTGCATGTCTGCAGCAATGGTTGCGGCTTATATTTTGCCAGCAGAAGAGTTAGGTAAAAGTATCACGTGTGATAATGTGTTTAACGTGACAGGAGCACATATACATAGAAGTACGTTAATATGCGTGGTTTCGGTTAACAAGCTCTGTAAATACAAACGTGCTGTCAGTAAGGCACACACAATAGCGCCCCAACTGTGCAGCTATAAAAGAAGCACATGGCTGTCAACAGACGCTAAAATATGTGAAAAAAAATCTCTGTAAAAAATATAAAAGTGCCGTAGTAATACTACATTACTGTCAAAGATGGGAATCCGCTCAGTCGGAATACCACGCGGAAAGCAGAATGCAGTTCTGCTAAGTTTTGCAAACGGCAAAGTGAAATAAAACGCCGGTAACGTATGCAGACACACGCTTGCAACCATTGACGTGGAAGTGGAGTTGGGGGTGATGTAAAATATCCGTCTGCAGGACAATGAGCTGTAAGTAGGCAGCATAGCCAAGTCGGTTTCTGCAACAACGACGTGGTGAGTCCGTGTGTTATCCCTTCAGCGCTCTCTGGCGTTACCTCCGACATGCGAAAATACTGAGAGAATGTTCCAAATGTCTCAAGCGAGACTTGAAGGCTCCGGCAATATTTCCAGAATGAAAATGTCAAATCGGTGCAGGTTACCAAGAGACGTCACGTGATAAACGCAATGCCCAATAACGTGCACATCAGGATGTTTGACTTTTTTTCTGTAATCGAAATATAAATGTAAAATAAATGTAGAACCCACGCAAATTAAATAAATTTCAACAACACATCTGATATTGATTAGGGGATTGTTTTAGACCTATTTTGCTAAAGAAAGAATTCAAAATCATCAAGTTATGAGGTAAAACATCTGATTGTAATTCACGTGTTGCCCTGTATCGTGTTGAGATTACATCTTTGTTTAATTTGTAGCCCAGGCCCTGCTGCATCTCCTCTCGGATGGGGGGGGGGGGGCAGTAGAGTTATTGTGTGTGGGGGGGGGGTACCACTACGGAAAATCCATTACCTTGGCTGGGGTGTGGGGGGGGGGGCAAAGGGACACTTTGGTAGTGCAGGGCCCAACCCCGTCACGGTACCCCCTAGCGTCCCGGGTTCTGATGTGCCCTAACATCAGGGCCACCCACAACGGTGCAGATAGACTGCCCGCCTGGGCGGACTACCTTCCCGGGAGGACCACTGCCCGGCACCATGACGACAATATGCTAATGTGGGGGGCCAGTGCTCTCTGACGCAGCTGCGACGCCCACAGAATGTTGAAAGAGATACCCCACGCTCTCAAGAAGATTGTCATATTGATTGAGTGAGCGGTGCGTTGCTCCGACTTGCACGCAAAAGGAGACGTCGTAAAATCTCTTGCTATCAGCATAATGGACGAAATCTCCGTAACGGCTGTTTCGTCGATAATAGAAGCAGTCCTCCCGTCGGATATGACCAATGCACAAGTGCGCATGTTTTTGTTTTTACATTTTTTTTTATACAACGGTTAATGGAAGAAGGGAGATTTTTTTTTTAACTTCCTCACTTTGTGTGAATTTTAGCAAAACGCATTTGGTGGTCATGCTGGGATCGGCCTCTTTTCCTTGGGGGTGACACCGAGGTGGCTCCGAGTAATTTGTGTCGCCAGATAGGGCATACGGGGGATTAAGAGCACTCCACTGGTTCAATCCAAATCAAAGGTGGGTAAGCTAAGCACTAGAAACGTTCAGCCAAGGAAGCTTAAGCAAATGATCTAAGGCCGTGTTAAAGTGACAGACATGCACAATGTACGGATATGTTTTTTGTCAATCCTTGCGGGGTTGTGGACAATGTTAAACTAAATTTCATTCCACTGTTTCCGTGTGGCTGCAGGTGGGGAGCATAGACCTTTAGTACAGCGATGACATTTGGCTACACTGCCTTTTGACACCCACAGTGTAGCTCTACAAAAGCGCCACTTTGGCGAGAAGGTCGTGAGTTTGATCCCGACCCAGACGCCTGTATTTTTGGAGTTTACATGTTCTCCCCATGGTCTTGTGGATTTTTCTCCGTTTGGAATCATGTGTTTCGAGCGTTTAGCTGCTATAAAGTTCCAC